AAAATCAATAATTATCAAGGCCCTCCCACCTCCAAAGTAGCAAGCAAGAAAGAAACAACAAAGTATGTGTGTAGCAAATAGCTCTGTAGCAATCCATGACATAGGATATACTACATAACTAACTTAATTCCATTAAGCCCTTTATGGAATTTGCATAGCTATTTATAAGTATATTTTATTTTTAAAATTTTTATTGTAAATGAGGTTTTGCCATATTGCCCAGGCTGGTCTCAAACTCCTGAGCTCAAGTGATCTGCCCATTTCAGCCTCCCAAAGTGCTGGAAATACAGGTATAAGCCAGGACACCAGACCTATAAGTGTATTTTAAATGTCACTTATCAGATGTGAACCCTGCATTAGTTTCAGAACCCACAACTATATGGGAGGATGGTTATTTGTGATTATCATTTTTATTTTTTAAATTTTTTTACTATTTATTTATTTTTGAGATGGAGTTTCACTCTTGTTGCCCAGGATGGAGTGCAATCGTGCTTAGATTACTTAATTATAGTATGAATTTTTTTAAAAAATCACTTGTTCAGTATATGCTTTTTCTTCTTTTCCTTGTGACAGTGTTCCCCAGGCTGGAGCGCAGTGGTGTGATCTCGGCTCACTGCAACCTCTGCCTCCTGGGTTCAAGCAATTCTCCTGCCTCAGCCTCCTGAGTAGCTGCAATTACAGGCATGCGCCACCACACCCGGCTAATTTTGTATTTTTAGTAGAGACGGGGTTTCTCCATGTTGGTCAGGCTGGTCTCAAACTCCTGACCTCAGGTGATCCACCCGCCTCAGCATCCCAAAGTGCTGGGATTACAGGCGTAAGCCACAGTGCCCACCTATTTGTGATTCTTAATGTAACAATGATACTAAACTATTGGCCGTCCTTCCACACAGCTAACTTTAGTATGGTTTTAAAATTTGTCAATTAATATATAATTGTAACTTATCTAAGTAGCAGAAGTTAATGACACTTTTCAGCTTTATGTGACTAGAGTTGTTCACAACCTCTCAAATAGTTTCTTCAGCTGAAAAATTAGAAGAGAAATACATAACCTCTAAACTACCTGTTGACTCCAAAATTCTAAGTACTGTACCTATGTTACCATCTCTAAGACACAAACTCCTTAGTTTGAAAAGTCCTGGCCGGGCGCGGTGGCTCACGCCTGTAATTCCAGCACTTTGGGAGGTCGAGGAGGGCAGATCACCTGAGGTCACGAGTTCGAGACCAGCCTGACCAGTGTGGTAAAACCCTGTCACTACTAAAAATACAGTTAGCCGGCGTGGTGGTAGGCGCCAATAATCCCAGCTACTCAGGAGGCTGAGGCAGGAGAATCACTTTAACCCAGGAAGCAGAGGTTGCAGTGAGCCGAGATCACACCATTGCACTCCAGCCTGGGCAACAAGAGCAAAACTTGGTCTCAAAAAAAAAAAAAAGTTCTTAGTTGCAATTTGAAATTTTTTCAAATTATCCTTTACTTTAAAAAATAAAAACATTTCTCTGATCCAATATTAATACAAAATGTTCATTCATTCACTTAACAAATATTTGTTTAGCACCCAACTATGTGCCAGGCATTAAGCTTGGCACTGAGAGGAATCAAAAACAGACATGGTATCTGTATTAATAAGGTTTACAGAGAAGCTGGAGAGAGAAACCAAATAAATATATGGATAAATGTAATATGAAGGAGTTAAAGAGTAGAATCTTTTTTTTCCTTTTTCTTTTCTTTTGTTTTTTTTTGAGACAGAGTCTCACCCTGTCGCCCAGGCTAGAATGCAGTAGTGTGATCTCAGCTCACTGCAACCTCCACCTCCCGGGTTCAAGCGATTCCCCTGCCCCAGCCTCCCAAGTAGATGGGAGGCACATACAGGTACGTGCCACTACGCTCAGCTAATTTTTGTATTTTTAGTAGAGATGGGGTTTCACTATGTTGGTCAGGCTGTTCTTGAACTCTTGACCTCCTGATCCGCCCACCTCGGCCTCCCAAAGTGCTAGGATTACACGCGCCAGTCACCGCGCCCAGCCCGTGATGTAGAATCTTAAAGGCTTCCCTTAAGAAGTAACAAATGAGTGACAAATTATCTTATGGGCTATTTAATGTGAGGAATCTGTCTAGACAGAAATAAATAAGGCATGTTCAGGGAACTGACCGAAGACCAGTGTGGCCTCACATAACAAAAATAGGTAAAGTAGTGCCCTGGAAACAGGAATGAAAAGTTCTAGTATACAAAAGCATATCTTAGCTATTTCAAAGACATACTCTAAAATTTATTGTCAACGAAGCTTCAAAGCTTCACAATAGTTTCTCTCAAATGTTTTATTTAAAAAAAAAGCTGTACTTTTTCTCCCTACAAAAGACCAAACTAACTCTCATTGATTCTCTTCACATTTCACTGCAATGTCGTCAACTACATGATAAAAATCACAACTTTTTAGTTCTACTTAGTTTAGATTCCTTAAAAGACAGCAACTATATAAGAACCAAAGTAAATATGGCGTTATTGTCCCATCTCTGTCACTAAACTGACCTGTGACTGATTTTGGTAAAAGTTACTTGGATACTTTGGCCTAACTTTTATTATCTGTGAAGTAAGGGGAGGTCCCAGAATTTCCTTTAAGATCCTTCTAATTCTAAAATTATGGTTCCACTGTAAAACTGCTTGTTCCTTTTTTTTGAGACAGGGTCTCACTCGGTCATCCAGGCTGGAGTGCAGTGGTAGGATCATGGTTCACCGCAGCCCCGACCTTCCTGGGCTCAAGTGATCCTCCTACCTCACCCTCCTGAGTAGCTATAACCACATTTGCATGCCACCATGTCCAGCTAATTTTTCTATTTTTTGTAGAGACAGGGTTTTATCATGTTGCCCAGGCCTATCTCAAATTCCTGGGCTCAAGCGTTCCTCCCACCTTGACCTCCTAAAGTGCTGGGATTACAGGCATGAGCCACCACACCCAGTCTTGCTCCATTCTTGAAAACTGATGAGAACAGGACCAAACACCGCCGAATTCCTTTGACCGAGATTGTACTTGCCTTTAAGATGTTTTACGTTTTCTTTTGCGGGGGCGGGGGGAGCAGGGTTTTGAGACGGAGTCTGGCTCTGTCGCCCAGGCTGGAGGGCAGTGGCGCCATGGTGGCTTACTGCGAGCTCCGCCTCCTGGGTTCATGCCATTCTCCTGCCTCAACCTCCCGAGTAGCTGGGACTACAGGCCCCACCACCACACCTGGATAGTTTTTTGTATTTTTAGTAGAGATGGGGTTTCACTTGTGTTAGCCAGGATGGTCTTGATCTCCTGACCTCGCAATCCGCCCGCCTCGGCCTCCCAAAGTGCTGGGATTACAGGCGTGAGCCACTGTGCTGGGCCTGTCTTTAAGATCTTTTTTAAAGAGACAGAGTCTCACTCTGTCACCCAGGCTAAAGTGCAGTGGCACGATAATGGCTCACCGCAACCTCTGCCTCCTGTGTTTAAGTGATTCTCATGCCTCTGCCACAGGAGTAGCTGAGATTACAGAGGTATGCCACCACACCCAGCTAATTTTTCTATTTTTAGTAGAGATGGGGTTTCACCATGTTGGCCAGGCTGGTCTCGATCTCCTGAGCTAAAGTGATCCACCTGCCTTGGCCTCCCAAAGGGCTAGGATTACAAGCAAGAGCCCCTGTGTCCGGGCTTAAGCTCTCTTTGTATTTGTATAGCATTTCAACACTATTGCTATGCTATAATAATAAAAAACTCCCAAATTTATAAAATTACCAATAACTAAGGTTCTAATAAAAAATTAACAAAATTTCAAAAATACTTTAAGTATTGTTAAAAATCTACATTTCCAATGAGACATAACACTTTAAACAGGGATCCGTAATAAGCACAAAGTCAAACTAGAAAGGAAGGCAGAAGAAATACAAAATCAAAAGAATTTTTCAGAAAATCAAAATTTTGGCAGTAGGACATTGAAGCTGGTTGATATGAATGTCGATTTTAACTTCCAAAAGAACTAATAACAAATGGATAATCTAACTCGATACTCATTCTCCTCTGATATATGTACATTTATAGTTAACAGCACTTCTGATAATCTATTTTCAAACAGAAAATGTATGTAAGTAGTCATAAACTTCCTCACTATACCTTTAAAAAAATTGAGACAGGGTCTCACTATGTTGCCCAGGTCTGAACCTCCTGTGCTCAAATGATCCTCCCGCCTTGGCCCTCAAAGTGCTGGGATTACAGGCATGAGTTCCTGCACCCAGCCACAACTGTCCTTTTTTTTTTTTTCACTGTTTAAGGAATTTTTATTAAAGCAGGAATTTTATAATCCAAATTACATTTCCTTGCTCAGTTATCAATTCTGTTACTTAAAACAGAACTGACATTTTGAGCTATTCCACGGTAAAGAATTACAAAATTAAAGAAAGGAATACTTTAAATTTTTGTGCTTTGCTGAAAATTATTTTTCCCAGGATCTATAAAACATTAATTTGTTTTTATATTTTATTATTTTTTTGTGGGTTTTTTTTTTAAATCAATAAGTAATCTAGGACTAATATTATGTTTGCTAGACCTGGCATTTAATTTATTTTATATTTCGCAATTTTTTTTCCCTATTTAAGTTTTTCTATGTTTAGATATTTTTCTTTGGTGAAGCACAAGTTCCTTTTGGGGTCTCTGATCAATTTTAAACAGTAGGAACATCGATGGCACTGTTAACTGCTTTCTGGGTAGCCTCTTTAGCTTGGTGGGCTTGTAATACAGCTAGCTTCAACAACCTTAGAACCGAGTGACTCTGGAGACTCAGACGGAGTCTTGCTCTGTCGCCCAGGCTCAAGTGCTGTGGCGTGATCTCAGCTCACCACAAGCTCCGCCTCCTGAGTTCACGCCATTCTCCTGCCTCAGCCTCCCAAGTAGCAGGGACTACAGGCACCCACCACCACACCCGGCTAATTTTTTGTTATTTTTAGTAGAGATGGGGTTTCACCGTGTTAGCCAGGATGGTCTCGATCTCCTGACCTCGTGATCCACCTGCCTCAGCCTCCCAAAGTGCTGGGATTACAGATGTGAGCCACTGCGCCCGGCCAAGCATATGAAGAAGTTCTGAGTTATCAATCTCCAACAACATGCCAGTGATTTTACCAGCAAGAATAGGGTACATGGCTTGAATAACAGGAAACAGCTGTTCACCCAACATTTGCTTTTGCTCTTGAGGGGCAGATGCCAACATGGAAGCAGTCAAAGGTTCCTGACCTTGTACATGAACAGCAGGCTATTGCATTGTCACTTGTGGCTGTGCATTAAGATGTTGCTGAGGACTGCGAACTCCCACAGTGTATTTATACTGTGGAACGGTGCGGACAGCAGGAGTAGCTGCAGCAGATACCAGCAGATACCAGGGTGTTAATATGTATGTGAAAAATCTTGATAATGGTATTGATGATGAACGTCTCCAGAAACAGTTTTCTCCATTTGGTACAATCACTAGTGCAAAGGCTATGATGGAGGGTGGTCGCAGCAAAGGGTTTGGTTTTCTATGTTTCCCCTTCCCAGAAGAAGCCACTAAAGCAGTTACAGAAATGAACGGTAGAATTGTGGCCACAAAAACCACTGTATGTAGAGTTAGCTCAGAGCAAAGAAGAGTGCCAGGCTCATTTCACTAACCAGTATACGCAGAGAATGGCCAAGTGTACAAGCTGTGCCCAACCATGTAATTAGCCCCTACCAGACAGCACCTGGTTACTTCATGGCAGCTATTCCACACTCAGAACCGTGCTGCATACTCTCCTCCTAGCCAAACTGCTCCACTAAGACCAAGTCCTCGCTGGACTGCTCAGGGTGCCACACCTCATCCACTCCAATATGCCTGGTGCTATCCACCCAGCTGCTCCTAGACCACCACTTAGTACTATGAGACCAGCTTCTTCACAGGTTCCACGAGTCATGTCAACAGAGCGTGTTGCTAACACATCAACTTTCCATTTTTTAACCAAAATTATCCAACATTAGAATTCAAGGTTTTAATATTCTTAATTTGAAAACTTAATGTTAAAGATCCATAAATTAACAGTTTTATATTTCATAATTTATCATTCTCAAAACAGTATAACTTTTAGAAGCATCAATCAAGCACCTCAATTAATATATAATCTTTAGTATCAAGATTTGCTTTATTTATTTTATTTTACTTTTTTTGAGACAGAGTTTCACTCTTGTTTCCCAGGCTGGAGTGCAATGGCGCAATCTCCGCTCACCAAGACTTCTGCCTCCCGGGTTCAAGCGATTCTCCTGCCTCAGCCTCCCAGTAGCTAGGATTACAGGCATGTGCCACCGCGCCCGGCTAATTTTGTATTTTTAGTAGAACTCCAGACCTCAGGTGATCCACCTGCCTCAGCCTCCCAAAGCGCTGGGATTACAGGTGTGAGCCACCGCACCCCGCCCAAGATTTGTTTTAATGAAAGGGGCCGGGGGCAGTGGCTCACACCTGTAATCCCAGCATATTGGGAGGCCCATGCGGGCAGATCATTCGAAGTCAGGAGTTCGAGACCAAAGTGACCAACACAGTGAAATCCCATCTCTACTAAAAATACAAAAATTAGCTGGGCGTGGGGTTGGGCGCCTGTAATCCCAGCTACTCGGGAGGCTGAGGCAGGAGAATTGCTTGCACCCAGGAGGTGGAGGTTGCAGTGGGCCGAGACGGCACCACTGCACTCCAGCCTGGGTGACAGAGCAAGACTCTGTCTCAAAAAAAAAAAAAAAAAAAATTAGCCAGGTGTGGTGGCGCACGGTAGTTCCAGCTACTTGGGAGGCTGAGGTAGAACAGCTTGAACCTGGGAAGTGGAGGTTGCAGTGAGCTGAGATCACACCACTGCACATAGATTTGTTTTAATGAAAGAAACTGTTGTCTTATTCCTTCCAAAAAGACAACAAATTGCACAACCAAATTAGAGTTTGAAAACTAAACCACATGAATATTTTAAACACTGTACTAATTAAAATGCAACATTAGGTACATTTACTGGGCTCCAAGAGCAAGAGGCCAAGCTCATTCCCTAAAATACATTTCGCCAAGTCGCCCAAGATGGAAACATTGTCAACAATGTTGCTTCCCTCACCTCCCACCAATTCTGATTGATTCTAACTCTGAAAAGTTGTTAAATCATTTCCTAGTCACTATTATCAATGCCATAGCCCTATCTGAAGATTTCAACGTCTTTCACCTAGACTACTGTTCATAGTTTCCTAGCCGGACTCACTACCTCTGGTGTTTCCCTACTCCAATCTAGCACCAATTGTGACAATCAAAATGTCTCCAGCATTGCCAAACATCTCCTGGAGGTCAAAGTTGCCCTGACTCAGAACTACTGCTTCAAGCTGATCCTACAAGAAGAGTATCACTTATTTGGTAAGATTCTGGCCACAATCTATGTCAGTGGAACAGAAACCAAAAAAACTTACAAACGTGAGGCTGAAATTTAAAACCTTAACCTTAGGACTGCCATGCTTAAACGAAATTAGCTGACACCTCATAAAAAGAGCCATAATACTCTTAAACTCCTTTGAACTATGTATAGACTTAAATCATCTTACTTTAAGCCTGAATTATGAAAAGTGTACCTTCTGTCAAAGTTTAACCACAATATATACATATTTAGGCTTCTGGACACTAGAAAATTATGCAAATTTTTAAAAAGGACTTTGCGCTTTAATCAGTCCTCCTCGGAAGTTGAAAATAGGAAACTTCTTGGGCAAATTACTGCCTACACGTAAGTGTGCAAGCCACTCTGAACAGTATTCTCATTAAATACCTCCAGAAAAAACTCTAAAAACACACAAATTCTTATGCTTGAAAACCAGGAAGTTTTTGAAAAATCACACTCTTTTTAAATTTCCCACAATGGTTATGTCCTTACAAAGCTTACTCAAAGATAACTTATCTCAGATACAACAGTACCTTTCACAGGGCGTAAGAGATCTAAAAAACTTGGAACTCTAAAGGCCAGAACGAGCAGGGTAGCAATATGACAGGAGAAAGCGCCTCCTACCAAAGACATCTGAAGAGCGAACAATCCGTCCAGACGCTTACCTTCAGGCGTTTGATCATCTCGTCAGTGGTGATCTTGTCGGTGATCTCTTTTACCCCCGGAGGGTAAGCGATCTTCCCGTCGGCACTCACGACGCCACAGAGGGCAGTGGCAGGCTTGGGCTGCGCGGTGAAGTCCATCCTGGGGGACAACTTTTGGTTCACAGTCCTCTACCGGCCTCTATCGGTCAGAAAACCAAAGTTCAGCGGGAAAGGGGCGACTTTGTAACCTCTCTTTTCATTTCAAATCTCTCTAATCTGGAAAAGGCCCTTTCTCCCCGGACGCCAGGGACCCGGCAGCGGCCTCGCCACCCGCTCTTTCCCAGGGCTCGAACCCCGCCGGCCCCACCAGCCCCAGCCCAGCCAGCCCCAGGCTCACGGGGCTCCTCGGCACCAGCAGCCGCGGCCGCGGCCGCGGGAGGCGCCGAACAGCGCCAGGAGTTTCCCATTCCGCCTTTCACAATGAAATCCAGCCCCGAGCACCAAGGTCCGAAGTTTGGCGGCCTCAGGAGGCCGGCAAGGACCCCAAGGCCCCCGCTCGGCCGTGGGGAAGAGCCCAGTCCCGCCCGGCCAGTCCCCTCCGGGAAAGCAGACGCGAGGCCTATACGGCTCGGCTTAGGCCGCAAAACTAGGGACCCAGCGGACCCACGCGCAGCGGCGGCTCCCGGGAACAAAACGCCCTTGCCCAGCCGAGCCTCGGACCCAGGGTAGTCCCCGCCGCACTGCCGCCCCTCCCCTGTTCCGCTCCCTCAGCCCCGCGGGAGGGGAAAACAAGCCGCCCTCCACCCCGAGCCCCACGCCAGGAAGCGGCTGACGCGGCTCCGCACTTCACATTTTGTTCCTTCAACTTCGGCTGAGGGACCCCAGCTGCTTCCCTGGCCCCGGCCGCTTGGCGCCTCCGGCACCGCCAAGGCCTTTCCGGCACCCCCGGGCGGCCCCACCGGGCCTCGGACCCGCGGCCCCCCCTCCGGTCTCCTCTTCCGTCCCCTCCCTCCAGCAGCCTAGGGCGGGAGCCGAGCCACCGCCGCCTTTACCTCCTCCTCATGCGGGCGGAAGGTGCATCGAGCGCCCGGGCCTCTGTCAGGTGGTTGCGCCGCCGCCCCTCGTCGGGCTGCACACAAAGCGGCTCCGCGGGTCCCGCCGCCGCCGCCGCCCGCCCGCCCGGGAGCGGCGCTGGGGCTGGCGGTGCCGAGGAGGAGCAGCCGCTGCGGGGGGAGACTCGGGGCGAGTGAGCGCTGGGCGGGGAGACAGTGCCGCTCTCCGTCTGGCCGAGGAAGAGCAGCCTCGAAGGCTCCTCCGGGAACGTGTGCGCGTGTGTCCGCCCGGGACCCCCGCAGCCCGCCCGCACGCACCTCGCGCCGGCCCAGACCGCCGACTCGGACCCGGACGCCCCTCGCAGCGGCGCGCGCCCGGCCGTCCGTGCCCCGGGAGCCGGCCCTCGCGCACACACCGGCCGGTCACGCGAGCGGCGCGAGAGCACGCGAGAGCAGCGCGCGCTCCTCGCTCCCTCCCCTTCCTCCGCCGGCCGTGCATCCGCCTCCCTCGGGCCCGAGGCGGCCGCGCGCAGGGCGGACAGCGCCGCCACCCGGTTGGCGCCAATACCTGCCGCGCGGGGCGCCTCCGGGAGGACCCGACCGGAGAGGGCGAGAGGAGGAGGAGCCCGGGTGGCGGGAAGCGAGCCCAGGTTCCCGCGGCCCTGCGGGGGCACGCGGGGCAAACAGCGCTTTATTTTTCGCAGCGGCGATGAGCTGGTGACTTTGGGGGGTCATCCTGAGGGACATAGACGGAACCAGTTGGGAGTAGTTAATTGCTCGGTGAAAATGAACTGATTTCTTCCTCAGGGAGAGATCTGGAAAGTCAAGGAAAGTTGTGCAACGGGGCACAGCGTGAGCGGCTCACTCTCGGGTCTTCTGACAGCCACCCGAGTTGCCCACCGTCCTTAGATTTCTGAAGTTAGTATTTTGAAAGCTGCAAAACATGAAAATAGCATTGGGTCGAGTCGTTCTCAAGGTATGATCTTTGGGCCACCAGGCCTCACAATCGCTTTGGGTACTGGCTGAAAACATAGGTTTCCAACTCCAAACATAAAAAAGCGAGGATCTCTGAGAGTGGAACCCAGAAATAAGCATTTATTAATTAGGTAGGTGATTCTTGTCAAAAAGGAAGAACTCATTTTTTTTAATGTTTTAAACCTACCAAGCATTAACGTTTTCTGTCATCCAAAGGAAAAAACTATCAGGTAAAAAAAGTGCACGCAGCAGTGTTTGAGCATTTTAATGTTTGTGAAATAAATGAACGCAAGAGCATACACTTACCTATTTTAAAAAAAATCAAGAGCATACACAAAATTTCCGAAGAGGAAGTTGAAAAAAGGATACAATAATATGAAATCGCATTCAGCTCTTGAAACTGACCACTACCATAGTTTAAAATGATACTCGTTTGTTTATTCAAATTATTCTTGATGGATATCCATTGGTCTATTTTTTTCCCACATCCTTTAACGTCAACTTAAAAATAGTAAAGGTACTGCAGCTCACTAACTTGTTTTTGACGTTTTACACAAGAGAGCAGTCATTGCGAATCTGACACTCCAGTTGCTGATTTGCTAGAACTCTGCCCAAAAGTCAGTGGTTTGTTCTTGGGCATTTACAGTACCAGGCAGAATCCATTTAAAATTGTCTTCATCCAAACTATTAAGTGGACCAAAAGCTGCTCTCTTTTTAGGCTCTCCCTGTCACTTTTGATATTTCTTTTCTTTTTTTTTTTTTTTTTTTGAGACGGAGTCTTGCTCTGTCGCCCAGGCTGGAGTGCAGTGGTGCGATCTCGGCTCACTGCAAGCTCTGCCTTCCGGGTTCACACCATTCTCCTGCCTCAGCCTCCCGAGTAGCTGGGACTACAGGCGCCCACCACCACGCCAAGCTAATTTTATCTTTTTGTATTTTTAGTAGAGACAGGTTTTCACTGTGTTAGCCAGAATGGTCTCGATCTTCTGACCTCAGGATCCCCCCGCCTCAGCCTCCCAAAGTGCTGGGATTACAGGCATGAGCCACTGCGCCCGGCCAACTTTTGATATTTTTTTCTGTGTTACATTTAATTAAACAGCAATGATTTTATCTTTCATTCTCCTCAGTAGCTTGCCCATTATTCAATGGAGTTTTGTATATGTACATAGATTTTTAAATTATTATTATTTTATTATTTTTTGAGACAAAGTCTCACTCTGTCGCCCAGGCTCCATTGCAGTGGCATGGTCTCGGCTCACTACAGCATCTGCCTCCCAGGTTCAAGCGATTCTTGTGACTCAAGCCCACAGGTAGCTGGGACTACGGGTGTGCGCCACCATACCAGGCTAATTTTTATTTTATTTTACTTTATTTTTGAGACAGAGTCTCCCTCTGTTGCCCAGGCTGGAGTGTGGTGGTGTGATCCTGGCTCATTACAACCTCTGCCTTCTGGGTTCAAGCAATTCTCCTGCCTCACCCTCCCAAGTAGCTGAGATTACAGGCGCCCGCCACTATGCCTGGATAATTTTTGTATTTTTAGTAGACACAGGGTTTCACCACGTTGGTCAGGCTGGTCTCAAACTCCTGACCTCAGGTAATCTGCCCGCCTCAGCCTCCCAAAGTGCTGGGATTACAGGCGTGAGCCACCGCGCCCGGCCTTACTGGTTGATTTCGTATATTTTCTTTTTTTTTTTGACATGGAGTCTCACTCTATCACCAGGTTTGAGTGCAGTAGTGCGATCTTGGTTCACTGCACCTCTCTGCCTCCCAGGTTCGAGAGATTCGTCTGCTTCAGCCTCCCAAGTAGCTGGGACTACAGGCACACACCACCACGCCCAGCTTATTTTTATATTTTTAGTAGAGATGGGGTTTCACCATATTGGCCAGGCTGATCTCGAACTCCTGACCTCATGATCCAGCCGCCTCGGCCCCTCAAAGTGCTGGGATTACAGGTGTGAGCCCCTGTGCCTGGCCTATTTTATTTTTTTGAGACGAAGTCTTGCTCTGTTGCCCAGGCTGTAGGGCAGTAGTGCAGTCTGGGCGCACTGCAACCTATGCCTCCTGGGTTCAAGCAAATCTCCTGCCCCAGCCTCCCAAGTATCAGGGACTACAGGCATGCGCCACCACACCCAGCTAATTTTTGTATTTTTAGTAGAGATGGGGTTTTACCATGTTGGCCAGACTGGTCTCCAACTCTTGATCCTAGGTGATCCACCTGCCTTGGGCTCCCAAAGTGCTGGAATTACAGGCATGAGCCACTGCACCCAACCTCCACCAAGCTTTTCTTCCCCACTCAGTGCCCAAAACAATGCCTTATATTGTAGGCCTCTTTAAATAATTGTTTCACAAATGAAAGCCTGCCCTCCTGGTGGACCTTAATTTGTTTGGGGAGAAATAGACCAAAATAACAATAATACACGTATATGAAAATAAAGTAGGGAAGAGCTGGGCACGGTGACTCGCACCTGTGATCCCAGCACTTTGGGAGGGGGAGGCAGGCAGACTATTTGAGGTCATGAGTTTCAGACCAGCCTGGCCAACATGGTGAAACCCCATCTCTATTAAAAACACAAAAAAATTAGACTCAGTGGCTCAGATGCAGTGGCTCAGGACTGTAATCCCAGCACTTTGGGAAGTCGAGGCGGGTGGATCACCTGAGGTCAGGAGTTCTAGACCAGCCTGACCAACATGGTGAAACCCTGTCTCTAGTAAAAATACAAAAATTAGCCAGGCACGTTGGCACATATCTGTAATCCCAGCTACTAGGGAGGCTGAGGCAGGAGAATTGCTTGAACCGAGGAGATGGAGGTTGCAGTGAGCCGAGAAAAGCACCACTGCCCTCCAGCCTGGGCGACAGAGTGAGACTCCCGGGAGTGAGAGAGAGTACAGATCACATATAGCCTTTTAGACCTCTGGTAGAACTGTGGCTGTCCTCTGACTGAGATGGGAAACTCATGGACTGTTTTAAGCAAAGAGGTGATCTGATGTATGTCCTGAGTTAGGCAACATTGGACAAACCACTTAATCCTTCTGTGCCTCATTTTCTTCATCTGTAAAACAAGGATAATAATAGTATCTTCCTCAGATGATTATCATGAGGAATAAATATGTTAATTTATTTTTTTTCTGTCGCCCAGGCTGGAGTGCAGTGCTGTAATCTTGGCTCATTGCAACCTCTGCCTCCCAGGTTCAAGAGATTCTCTTGCCTCAGCTTCCCTAGTAGCTGGGATTACAGGCGCGCACCACTATGCTCAGCTATTTTTTGTATTTTTAGTGGAGATGGGATTTCACCAGGTTGGCCAGGCTGCTCTCGAACTCCTGACGTCAGGTGATCCGCCCACCTTGGCCTCCCAAAGTGCTACGATTACAGGTGTGAGCCACTGCGCCTGGCCATAAGTTAATGTTTGCAAAGTGCCTAGAATAGTAACTCGCATATGCTAAGCTCTACATAATTTTTTTTCATAAAATAAAAAAAAAATCATTATAGCTGCTGGGTTGAAAATAGCAGTAGATATGCAAATGTGGAAGAAGGGTAGCACGGTAGGTGTAAGACAACTATAAAAATCCCAAGGAAAAATGGTAACAAGAACCATTTCTTAGAATGATAGCTAATAGAGGTAATGGCAGTAGAGGTGGTGAAAAGGGGCAGAAGAAGAAAAGAAGAGACAAGAAATCAGGGATGACAGCAGGTGCCATGTCCAGCCGCGAAGGTGGCAAGAAGAAGCCCCTGAAACAGTCCAAGAAGCAGGCCAAGGAGATGCACAAGGAAGAGAAGGCTTTCAAGCAGAAACAAAAAGAGGAGCAAAAGAAACTCGAGGAGCTAAAAGCGAAGGTGGCAGGGAAGGGGCCCCTGGCCACAGGTGGAATTAAGAAATCTGGCAAAAAGTAAGCTGTTCCTTGTGCCTGAGGAAATGATGACCCTTTATTTCATCAGTATTTAAACATCAGTATTCCCTGCCATAACATCTTTTGCCACCGATAGCTGGAATTAAGTGTTGTTTTGGAGCTGTTGTACATTTAAGAATAAACTTTTGTTAAAAAAAAAAAAAGAAGAAGAAAAGAAAGAAATCAAAGATGACTCTTAAAAGTTTTCAGCCTGAGTAACTAGAACCACTATCAAGATAATGAGGACTGTGCTTGGATCAGATCAGATTTAGGGCCTAAAAGATATCCATGCTATCGTAAAAGTTAATTAAACAGTCACTGAGCTCCTATACTGGGTAAGGCATTGAACTAGGCACTGAGAGAATATGTTAAAAACAAAATCCGGCTGGGCATGCTGGCTCACACCTGTAATTCCAGCACTTTGGGAGGCCGAGAACGGATCACAAGGTCAGGAGTTCAAGACCAGCCTGAAATCCTGTCTCTACTAAAAATACAAAAAATTAGCTGGTCATGGTGGTGGGCGCCTGTAATCCCAGCTACTCGGGAGGCTGAGGCAGGAGAATTTCTTGAACCCGGGAGGCAGAGGTTGCAGTAAGCCAAGATCACCACTGCACTCTAGCCTCGGGGACAGAGTAA